CACAATAATTTTGCCTGCGCTAATGCCTAAACTGGCAGTCTTTCAAAGCAATTCGCAATCTTTTACAGCAGTGTTCATGATCTGTCGAGGGGCTCGTTAGAGCGCTTGCTGCTGCCCTGCGGCCGCCGTGCGCGAGAGGAGTTGGAAAGGGAGGGACAATGTAATGCTGATAAGGGTTCGAACCTGGCATTGCGCAACGCAATGCGCTATGCAGCGGCCGCGCTGCGGCGGGCCTGGCGGCGCCCGCGGTTCAGTGTCAGACCAGTGTCAGCTCCTCTGACCGGCTCACTCACGGGAGGGGTGGGCGCTCCCCGCCCCCCTTTCACTTTTTAGGGAGTGGTCGCCGGTTACGCGCTGTGTGCGCTCATGCCGTACTTACCTCACGTGCGTACACACTGCCGAGCATCCCGGGCTCGTCCCTGACACGCCGGCCACGTTGTGGGCGCACAGGGAGGCAGGGCTCGCGCCAAGTACAAAGAAGCCGTGTGCTAGCTTTATCTGGACTGTTCTCTTCCAATCAAACCTTCTGACGTGACCTAATGACTGGAAAGGGGGGTGGGGGCAGCCTTTTGGTGGGTGTGGGCTGGGCAGTGATGCTGGCGCGTCATCCGGGCACAGCTCTACTGACTGGCAGTAAGCGGGTCTTCTCCAAACGTTTGGAGAAGGCCTTTCGAAAAGAAAGTGACGTGACATCGCCTAACGTGGGCGGCGTGCCCTGTGACTGAGTGTGTGTTTAACGAGTATTGATTCTGTTTTTTTCTCCTTTCAGGTTCGAACAGGAGTCTACGGCCGCTGGAGACACCACTGTTTGGCTGCGAGTGACATTTCATGCTGTTACCCTATCCGAGGTAAGGCTTTTCTGAACACTGAGTCTACCGGGTGTAACTGTGAATACGCAGTAGTGTTGCGGGTTTGCCTACTCTTTACACCCGTAAGGGGCCATGGCCCCTGCGGGCATATTGAGTATACAATACCGGAACACTGCTCCGTATTCACAGTTACACCCGGTACATTGATTGCCAAATTTTCAGCGATCATTACTAATTTTTCAGCAACCGTTAATGTTTTTGCAATTTTTTTACTTTCCGCGTAACGTTTTGGATCACATTCCAATTTCATTGTTTAAAGAGCGTTCGAACGAGCTGCTATGGTTTTAAATGACACCCACTTTCCAATATTATCAATCTAAACGGAAGTACTAAAGTATAAAAAACCGTAACGTTTCAATGCTGATCATGATGATTGCTGATTAACCACTGTGCCCTGTACACTGATAAATTCATATCTCTAATAATTCAGTAGTAATCATCCATGTTTGCTAATAATTCAGCAATCAATGTACACTGTTGAGTTTTCAGAGTAGTAACCAATTGACTTTAACCTATAGAACAGACTTGATCAACGCTCGAAAGTCCTTCACAAGCAATTTCACATTTAATGCATTAGTGATCACACTGTAATTGTTTTCAGGGACGGAGAGAATGGCGTAGGTGAAGAACTAAACGAGATATGCTTTTGGACGCACCGACCATGTGTCGAGGAAATGAAAAACCCTTTGAGGCCTTTGGCGACGACGATGGTGTGGGGAGGCTGCATTCAGGACTGCAGTGCTCGCAGTGCCCCATCACCTTTAAGTCCCACAGCCTTCTCCGCCGGCACCTCATCCGCGCGCACGAAGAGGTGATGCTCTACGGCTGCACGGACTGCCTGCGGATGTTCACCAGCGTGTATGAACTTCAAGAGCATCGTAGTACAGCGCACATTAACGGTTGTGGTAAGCCTGTGCTCTGTCCCGAGTGTCCCAAATCATTCTCCTCAGAGAGATCGCTTCATCAACACAGACGCTATCATAGAGAGTCGGAGTTAATACCGTGCCCCATGTGTGATGTGAAGTTTAGGTACCCTGGGGAGCTTAGGGCTCACTTGGCTGTTCATTCTCAAGCGAGACCATTCCAGTGCCATTTGTGTGAAAAGGCTTTTAAATACAAGCGTAACCTCCAGAAGCACTTCCTAACTCATACGGGGCTGAAACCACACGAGTGCCACCTCTGTGGCTGTAGGTATGCAGAACGAAGTAGCCTAACAAAACATCTGAGGTCTCATTCCACGCCTGGTGGCAGACCCTTTAGCTGTGATGTCTGTCGTAAAAGATTTGCTGATCATTTCCAGCTTTCTGCTCATTTAGAAAGTCATATTAATTCATCCATGACTGCCATCACTTCTAATGCTCCCCTCTACGAGCAGTTTCCCCCTTCAAACAGTTTCACCAATGCTCTACAGGAACCTCTGCAATTGAAACTTGAACTGTCAGAAATCAAAAAAGAATTGTTTGTACCAGGTGATCTTCTGAAAAAATCGTTCGACTGCACGGAGTGTCCTGAGACATTCGAAAGAAGAAGTGATTGGCTTCGGCACTTCCGTATTCACAGGGGGTCCCGGCCATACAAATGTACTGAGTGCTGGAAGACATTTCGTGAATCGAGTGACTTACGAAATCACTTGTTTGATCACACGAAAGAACTTTGTGATTCTTTTAGTAATGACTCAAATGATTCGTGTTTTGCTACTAGTGATGAGCTGGAGGACATTACAGATGTGACTTCGGGTGATTCTCTACACCTTAACTCTACAAAAATTGTTGATGATATAAGTGATCATATATCCCTTGATTTAACAGAGCCAACTAGTGATGGAATGGATGACAGTATGAATTACTGTGATTTGACTGACAGCTTACGTGATGATCTAAGTGATGGAGGCTTTAGCGAGTGGTCTGGTGCTTTAAGACAATTACATTTTCGCAAAAATTCAAAACCTCATAAATGTCCAATGTGCCGCTTGCGGTTCCGTCAAGTCAACCATTTACTTCGGCACTTGGACACTCATCTTCCAAACAGACCTTATAAATGCCTAGAGTGTAACCAGTCATTCAAGCGATCAGACCATTTGCGTAGGCATATGTTAACTCACAATGCTAGGGAAAAACCCTTCAGATGTTCACAGTGCCCGGAACAGTTTGTATCGGCTCATTACTTAGGTCGCCACATGCGTAGCCATGCAGGAGACAAGCCGTACTCCTGTAAATATTGTGAATATAATTTCCGGAGCCCCAGTTCGTTAGAAAGGCATCTTCGAGTCCACAATGACAAGACGTCAAAAAGATTAGGAACCACCCCAAATAGCAAGACCTTCAAGTGTACTGAATGTTTACTTAAGTTCCGCAAGAAAAAATCGCTGATGAAGCATCTTCTGGAGCACCTCGGGCGTTGAACTTTTGCGTCTATTGTTGGTCCATTTCTTAACTTATTTGTATTCGTATTATTGTGTAAGAAAAATCCTTTGACGTTACTGCCGCTGAAAAATTAAATTCAGTGCTTCCACGATGCTTGGTTTTATTGTTATTAAAGGTCAGACACATTTTAAAAACTAAGTTTGGCGAAGAGCTAAAAAATTGTTCCTCTCATTAAGAACGTAATTTTAGAAAAATATGTCTAGAAACGGGGTGACTTCCGTATTATAAGTTAAGTCTACTGTAAGTTTTGTATTTATTATGTGATTGTTTTTACGTTACGTTCATGTTTGAGTTCCCCACAGTGTCTTGCAGTAGTTAATTTTAATTACAAATTTCTTTTTTGAAACTTTTAAAAATAAATTAGACTTTTGTTCAAAACTATTCATATTGGAATTCTTTACCTACGCTCCGAAGAATTTTTTTTTTACTTAGGTTATCGCATCGACGTGTCTAAAGAAATACAGTAGAACGCGTTGCCATGTGCGCTAGTGTCAAAATGTTCAGTTAGGCTGTCGCTTTGTTGCTAGTCACGGAAGCAAAAACGAGGCATTGAGGAATCGGCAAAAGAAAACCTAGCCTGTGTAAGTAAGGAGTTATTGACATAATGAAAAATGTCCGAAAACTTCGAGAAATCCTGATTTGGAAGCTCTCCCTTTTATAACTGCAAAGTTATTATTCAAACACTGCGCCGTCCTCACTGTCAATCACATGTATGAATAAGAATTGCTTAACATTCCTTCACTGTAAAAAGTTTTGTTGGAAATTTCTAAACAATTAACTGGAAAATTTGCAATCCGATCAGTTTGGAAAATGTGTAATTCAAACAGTTCAGAAACATAATTTTCCAAACTGTTTGGAAAGTTCCGAACTTTTTGGAAAATATTCATGAACTTACGTCTAACATTTCTGATTGTTTTTTACTGAGTGTTATTTTTATTGTCACTTCACCTAGTTTTGGTATAAACTAGTAAGTTTACTGTTTCCCAAATTGTTCGGAAATTTCCAAAGAAAGGACTGGAAAAAAAATCCAACAAAATGTTGGAAAATCATGTTTCCAAACTATTCGGACAAATTTTTGTTGGAAATTTCCGACTCAGTGTTAGACCGTGTCTTTTTGACTTTTCTCCCCCTAGGCTATGTACTGTACATAACATGCGGGGCTATGCCGGGGGGATGTTCTTGAATTGAAAACTGTTTTTTTGTGTGTAATGCAAAGCTTAAGCTTTTTCTTAGTTGTTAGTGTTCTTTAAATAATATCTTGAGAAGCAGGGAGGGGTGGGGGCACGTTGCACTGCGGCGGTAACCGGTCGCTGCAACCTGACGCTGCAACGACAAACACGTCGCGAGTCGAAAAACGAATCGACTCCGCCGCCGCGCCCCTCCTCGCCGCGGGACTAGATCAGTGAGGTCGCTCAGGCCGCGTTTCGACACCGACCCGTACGAGGAAGCGGCGCGCGTCTTTCACAATTTTCTAGTTCCCTTATCTTAAAAGACTGTCCCTTTAGGTTTGGTTCGCCAAAGTGTCGCTGGAAAAGTAGAAAAGTGTGTCACTGCCGTGAACCTTATAAGTTGTTTAAGCTAATTTACATACTTATGTAATATAAACAATGTCGCCAACAATGTGTAGACGTCGGACAGAAAATTTTATTTAACGGAGTAGTCATAATTACGAGGGGAGCACTTTAAAACACGTTTTCACTCAGGCTGAATAAAAATATTTTTTATTAATTTGCACCCGTAACCAAAGTACCCGTCTTGTTTCGCATGCGTCAATTTAAAATAAAATAAAAAGAACAAGTTGTTCCACCTCTGCTTAGACTTTTGCCGCTGTGTCTGTTGAGGGTGCATCAGGTCAGCAGCCGCGGGCAGGTTGTCGGGGGACGGGGTGGTGGGGGCGCCGCGGCTAACGGTGCTGCCTGCTCCCCATATGGCCGCGCAGAGACATTAGCGTCCCGCGCGCGGTGGGCCCCCGGGCCGGGTCCCCGGGCCCCCCAGCGGTAGGGGTGAGGTCTCCAACTCCAAGCCGAGGGGCGACCCGCGGGGCCCCGGCGACCACACGGCGCAGCGTGGCACGTGGCCAGCAATCGTGGAAACGTTTCCCCTGACTCTTCCGAACGAGTGGTTTGAATCTTAATCGTATTGGTTCTTCAGAGATGATGGAACTAGACTGCATCTCTGAAAATCTAACAGTGCTGCTGTCCCATACTGTTGGATTTCCCACAGTGAGGCTGTTCTGTACTAGTAAAGGAAATTGGCACAATAAAGCGCAGTTCCTCGCTGCATCGCAGCTGCGCACCTTGGTGGTGACTGGCGGCAGAATCAACTTCTGCGGCCGCCAAACTGCTTCAAGCCCCTCTGCTCACCGCGCCGCGTGCGTCCCCGGACCCGCGGCGCGGACGCTCCTCTGCCCCGCCCGCGGCGTCGCGGCCTTGGCGGCGCGCTGCTGCTCGTCCTGATCTCGTTACACAAGCAATAAGGCGCTCCGGACACGGCCTCGCAGCCGAGATGATCTGATCAAAGGAAAAGGGGGATGTCCGGGGCGACGCGTCTCGCCCGCGGAGCCTGTGGAGCCTGCGGTGGGCCGCGCGCGGCGTGTGAGTGAAGGCAGCCGAAGGCCCCTCCCAATTGGATAATGGCGGAAAAATCACAATGCCAAACAAAATGATGGCGTGTAGTTCGGGGCGGCGCCGTGTGATTGTTTTTGTGGGTTTCGATCGGACCGCAAAAGGGATGGATACAGTCATTAGCGACTCCAGACCGACGAGACGAAAAAAGAAAAAAATATTCGCAGACGATTTTACAACGAGGTAAGGTAATGGCGAGGAATACTGCAAACTTCGGAAAAGGAAATGCGTGTTTGGGGGGACATGTAGATTTCTCTCGTCTACACGTCCGTTTTAAGTATATTGTTACGTGCGACTCATTTTTACAAACGTACCTATTCAGTCCACCTATGCGCATATGTATGGAGGGAATGGAATTCTTCTGGTACCATCGACGCGGACTCGAGTGCCAATCACTGTTGTTGGCTTCTTGCGCGTGCCTCCCGGTGTGCGCGTGCGTGTGTGTGGAATAGGGGGAAAGGGTGGGGGGCGTGGCGTGCAGAACGCGAGTGAGGAGAAAAGAGAGCGGGGCGCGATGGTGGCGCGGGGGACATGGGGGGCGGAGGGGACGCGTAACGACCCTCTTTTTCCACTATTCGCGTCGGTTACGGCGGCCTCTGCTGGTGGTTTGAATCGTCACAGCCGCGGCGTGTTCGTCGCTGCAGGACTGCTGCTACGCGGGCGCCCCCGCCGCGGCCGCGCGCACTCGCTGCCAGGTCCTTACAGACAAACTAGTTTGTAAGGCTTTGCGGGACAATTTGGCGCAGCTTTACGGCATTTGCAAGGACTTTGCGCAGTGCCCTGGCCAGCGGCGTCCACCTGCCGGGCCGCGCGCGCGAGGCGTGTCTCGCCCTGGTGGCGGCGCGCGGCCGTGCCCGCTGTGGAGAGGTGACGCGGCCGGCGGGGCCGCCCCCCGCGGACGTCCCCAGGTGAGCTGTTGCCGCGGGCCGCGGGCCGCGGGCGGACTTCGACCGGCGGCGCGGCGGCGCGTCACGACGGGGTGCGCCCAGCGCCATGCCGAACTGTTTGCAAACAACAGTCCGTCCTAATCTAATCTGACCTGGAGCTGGTGTGTAGCTCAAGGCCGGGCGGGGGCCACGACGGGGACCGTGAGGGGGGCCGAGGTACGCGAACCACCTCAACACGGTCAGCGAGAAAGGGGTGGCTGCGGCCGCAGATTATGAAAAGGGGAGAGCAGGCCAACGAAGAAACGGAAGACGAGAAAGGTTTTCCGATTCAAATTGTTGTTGGGTATTAGTGGTAAACTTGTCGTGGTGCTCGTATCCCCAAGAGCGATCAGCTGTTCGAAACGATGACCTCGGCATCGTCTCCCTCGTCTGCGGGCTGCCCTCTGGGATCGTCCAGAGAGTACGTCCGTTTTTCTCAGATTTGTTCGGCATGTTGCGGTTGCTCGGCGCCTGCGAGGCTCGGGGTAGGCCACGCCGCAGTACACGCGTGCACTTCAAGCAAGATGTTGCGTGCCCATCAGGCGCTATGGGCGACGATGTGATCTCGTCCACGCCGCCTCACTCGCGAAATATTCTATTAAATTTGCTTGCGTTCAATGCTTCCCAGCTTTCTGTTCCGAATAATGGGTCGTTTTTGAACAACGGTTCAGCAGCAGAGAAGTACGGGTATCCCCACCCCAACTCCCTCTCTAGTCGCCCCCGTGACACCGCGGTCTGACCAGGGCGGGCGCTGCGGTCAGTGGGCCGCCGCCGGCCTGGACTTTGGCCCCACTGCAGCAGCGCTCTGACACAAGTGGAGTAACTCTCTCCCCTTCTCTCTCTCTCCCGCCCGCGTCGTTGTCGTCGTGTTTTGCACCGCCAGCCTCGCTCCCCCGCCGCCGCCCCTCTCGCGTTCTCGTCATCTCAGCATAGACGACGACGACGTATATTAGCTATTGGCCCATCGAGCAGAAGTAGGCAACTAGCACGCTGCCTCACTTTTGTTATTTTGCGGCGGCATCATAGACTGCACTCCGGCGGCGGTGTGTTGTGCACCGGGCTCCGCCGATATGGTAGCACTTCCGGCGCAGGCCTGCCAACACTATCTCACGCACTCAGAGAGAGAGAGAGAGAGAGAGAGAGAGAGAGGGGGGGGG